TTTTTTTTTTTTTTTTTTTTTTCTTTCTTTCTGGGATTTTCATTTCAATTCAAAACATTATAAAAAAAAAAACAAAAAAAACACAACAATATTAATTAGGGTTTTGTCTGGTTGCCTAATTGTTACAAATCAACCTTAATGAACAGTCTTGACTGTTTTGTTCTTCAAATAACTGTTGAATTTCCCACCACAAAAACCCAATCTTCTGTTTCTTTACCTGATGAACATGAAAAAAACAACCTGAAAAGCCCTAGCTTTGAACATGTTCATGTTCTTCATTTGGGTCATCATTAAAATACTCAAATTTACTTCGAATTATACATATATAAGCTTATAAAGATCAAATCTTTGATACCCAAATCACTAAATGGACAAAACCCACCAAAATTTTAGCCATAATTTCCCACTAATTTATGTCACAAACACTATTTTCATCCTCAAAAATCCACCAAACCCATCCATTTAGTATCAATTCAAAGTGATCTTGAAGATTAAAACAAAAAAAAAACATGATCATCCTTATAGAAAGCTAACACGAGCTATGCGTAGCTCATCCAGGTCGAAGGTTCAAATCTACACTTCCACGCGATTACGAATTGGACATAAAAATAAGCGATAGGTTACAAATTCTCTTAGCACATAATTCATATAGAAAACTCTATCAATGTTCTTGATTGTGTGTTCGTTCTTGTTCTTGTTCTCGTTCTGGTGCTCAAGTTGCACCGTCTTGATTTGAATTTGCGATCTTTTGCTTCGGCCTTTTTCTCTTCTTCTCATAGCTAACCCCTCTTGCTTTCGCCTGAAAATCACGAACTTCCCTTAAATAAAGCCTAACAGCTCTAGCTCCAAAAGGGTTAGATTCCGGCCGGCCGCCGTTCTCTTCATAGGCAGCACGGAGGCGACCAATGAGTGCATCAAGGCTGCCCCAAGCTTGCCGGAGCGGGCAGGGACAAGGGGCAGGCGGGTTAGGAAGGCCAAAAAACGGGCAGGTTTGGTTATGGACTTTGGTCTTCCCAAACTGATCCAAGTACCGGAGAAATTCCAGCACGTGAGCGCCGCTGCACATCGGTAGAGACAACGGTGGACGATGGTTGCGAAGGTACTGACAAAACGTGTTCCAATCTCGCCGTTTTTGATTCTCATAGCGGCTAGGTGTGGCGGTGGCAGTGGCGGAAGAGGAGGAAGATGGTGATGGACATGCTGTAACAACGGCGGCGGCGGCGGCGGCGGTGTTGGTGGTGTCGTAAGGAGTGGGATTTGAGGATGATTCTGAGAACAAATCCATTAAAGACGAAAACCCAAATGAAAGACAAGAAGATTGAAGAAAAAACAAGAGAAATTTAGGGAAATGAGCAAAAAAAAGATTGGATTTTTAGGGTTTTAGAGAGAGAAACAAGCTCAAAGATTAAGTTTTTGAAGGATTTAAGGCAAAAAAACACAAACCCAGTTGAGAAAAATGGAAAAAAAGTGAACCCAAGAAGTTGGAATTGCATGAAATGATGAGGAATGCATTGATAAAGAGGAAATGAGATGAGTTTTTGTTGGGTTTAGAAGAGGAAGAAGAAGAAGAAGAAGAAGATGAGAGGGGGGGAAAGAGGAGTGAGAGATGAACAGTGAAGAAAGAAGGGAGAAATGAGTAATGATCAGTGGTGGTTCAGTGGGGGGAAGTGGGTTTGTTCAGTGTTAGATTAAGAGAGAGAAGAGGAGAGAGAAGATGAACAGTAAGAGCCATACAACATAACATGACAAGTTTTTAGCAGAGAAAAAGAGTTGATGGTGACCATTGGTAAAAGGACATTTGTGCTGTCACCCATTCACTCTCTGGCGCGTGTATTACACCCTCCACTTCTTCCTTTCGTTCTTAGGGTTTCTATCGTTCGAGATTTTGTTTACGATGTTTGAGAATAAGATGTTGGAAAATATAAGATGTTTGAGTATAAGATAAGATTTTAGTGAATCAGAGATATAACTGTGTTTGATGTTGCATAAGTTGTTTGACAAGCGTATCAGAGATATAACTGTGTTTGATGTTGCATAAGTTGTTTGACAAGCGTCTTTCATTCAGCGACGAAAATCTCTTACGTGTAAACTATGTTATGATCAATTCAAACGTAGTTTAATGAATAAATCACTGATTACCATACAAAGATCGATGTTTTAATCTTGTGTTAAACTTCATTAAAAATTTAAGTGACTTAGATCTCTTTGTTTTGATTTCTAAATTTAAAAGTTTTAGATTTAATGGTAACATTTTAGCAAAGTTCAATAGTTAAAATTGTTAAAATATACTTGTTATCGAGAGACGAGATTCAAAACCTTAAAAAGAACAAAAAGTAAAACAATAATATTTATCGATCATAATTTTAAATATTCTCTTAACAACTCACTTTTGCTCCATTTTAATTTTATAACTCGTTTCCAAAACAAACTTAGGGTAACAAAAAAACAAAAAAAAAGTGAAAATACGTTGATGTTTAACTTCAACCATCTCAAACAGGTCAAGACGAGTGCAGATACCCGTTCTTCCTTTTCCACTTCATCCCAGTATAACACCACTCAAACGATTAAAAGTTACGTAGAAAGCTCTCGAGAACTAAACGAGACGGGGTTAAAATAGTCATAAGTCGAGATTCAAATCTCCGACCTAGAAGAACCAAAAGAAGTAGGTAAAGGATTTGAAAGGGGTATAGTCCAACAACATTAATCACAAAGTGGCTGCATTTGATATCTCTATTCACAGTCAACAGGTAACCCTCATATCATATCAGGCATTAATTACAAACTACAAGGCATGACATTCCAAAAGGACACAAAGAAAACTAAAAAAAAGGGTTCCAAAAGCTTTTCCATGTTTGATCAAATGAAGAGGAAACAGGCTACTCTACACACACCTGGGAATGTAAACCCTACATTTTAGGGCTGCCCTAAACATCACAGGGATACCCTAAATGAATAGATCAGATTGGCATCTTCTATCACCAAAACTTTGCCATTAAAGAACCTGTTTAGGTTGGTAGGTTTGTTCAAATCAGGACAGCTACACCTACCACAGATATATATATATATATATATATATATATATACCTACATGCTCAAAAACTTGTATAAGGTCAGCAACCCAAATAATAATTAGAGCGTAACAATGAATATGTAACAGCTCAAGTCTACCGCTAGTCAATATTGTCTTTTTTGGGCTTCATCTCAAGGTTTTAAAACGTGTGTCTGCTAAGGAGAGGTTTCCACATCCTTACAAGGAATGTCTCGTCCTCTCTCCAACCGACGTGGGATCTCACAATCCACTCCCCTTGACCCAGCGTCCTCTCTAGCACACTGTTCGGTGTCTGACTCTAATACCATTTGTAACAGCTCAAGCCCACCGCTAGTAGATATTGTCCTCTTTGTGCTTTCCCTTTCAGGCTTCCCCACAAGGTTTTTAAAAAGCGTTTGCTAGGGAGAGGTTTTTACACTCTTATAAAGAATGTCAATCGAGTATCTCTACGTTATCCACAAGTTCTATGAATATTTGCTAAGTATACTCTTAAGAAGTTCACAAAGAAATTACTGATCGTCATGATGTTTCAGAGATTGATATGTATTAGTGTGGCATAAACAGACTACTTACAGATCACAGAGAAAGTACATCTAAAGAGAAATGGAGAAAAGGCTCGAGTCGAGCACCTTGTCGTCTATTTACAAGCCGGTTTCATCTGTAAATGCTCCAGCCATTGCTTGCTGTGACAATAGAATGAGAGGAATTATGTACATTGGCTTTAAAAAGAAGTTTAAATTCTATTTTAGTTCTCTTTCTTCTAAACGTTCTCGCTTTAGTGTTTAACTTTGCATGGAAAGTCATTTTAACACCTACTAGTCAAATAAATGATTATCCTACTAAACGTAACTTTGAACTCTTGTTTCATGCAGATATCCGCCCATTAGATAAATGAATGAACGTGTTATATTTCGATATCATTAAATAGTTTAAGAAAGGTAGCGATGAGAACCAAAACGTGAGGTCCTACATCAGTTGGAGAGGAGAACGAAACATTCTTTATAAGGGTATAGAAACCTCTCCCTAGCAGACGCGTTTTAAAAACCTTGAAGGGAAGTCCGAACAAGATTTGATGGTGTGTTGTAATGGTAAAAATGAAATAAACATAGAACTTAAACAAAATGAAAACACAAACAAGATTTGATGGTGTGTTGTAATGGTGATCACCTGGAAGCAGGATAAGGTGTATTGTACGTCAGATGTTGAAATTTGGTGGTGGAGCACAATTCTAATCCTGAACACACACAAACACACACAGAGTTCAGACAAAGTGGTAAACCAAGAAATTTCTATCATGCAAAGGAGTTTGTCTTTGTGTTTCTTTGTGAGTGTTCATCACACGCTTCTAAAATGGGCGTTTATGGATCTTAACGATCGTGAGAACGACGAGACGCGACAGAAAAGTTACGGGACGTCGAAAGACTAAAAACAAACCTCGATGAACTTTCTGGCAATACAAGTATGCCATGTTCTTCCAAGATCTTGCATAGTTTCTCCCCTGTAATTGTTGTGTTTTCTTTTATATCTACGAATATCTGGATTGAAAGCAATTATAATTTCAATGTCAATATAGATTGAAAAATCATGGACCAGAAAAGAAAGGAAAGCAATTATAATTTCAATGTCAATATAGATTGAAAAATCATGGACCAGAAAAGAAAGGAAATCTGGAGCATGGACAAGAAAACAGAACAGCTTCTGTTTAATTTTTTCACTCTTCGTGAGATCCCATATCAGTTGGGGAGGAGAACGAAACATTCTTTTATAAGGGTGGAAACCTCTTCCTAGAAAACGCGTTTTAAAAACTTTGAGGGGAATCCCGAAAGAGAAAGTCCAAAGAGGACAATATCTACTAACGGTGGGCTTGGGGTCGTTATAAATGGTATCAGAGCTACACACTGGGCGATGTGCTAGCGAGGAGACTGAGCCCTGAAGGAGGGTGGACACGAGGCATTGTGCCAACAAGGATGTTGAGCCCCGAAGTGGGGGTGGATTAGGGGGTCTCACATCGATTGGAGAAGGGAATGAGTGCCAGCGAGAACACTGGACCCTGAAGGGGAGTGGATTGTGAGATCCCACACGGTTGAAGAAGGGAATGAGTGCCAGCGAGGATGTTAGGCCGCAAAGGGGGGTGGATTGTAAGATTTCACATCGGTTGGGGAGGAGGAAGCATTCTTTTACAAAAGTGTGGAAACCTCTTCCTAGTAGAGCGTTTTAAAAACCTTGAGAGGAAGCCCAAAAGGGAAAGCCTAAAGAGGATAATATCTACTAGCGGTGGGCTTGGGGTCGTTACACATCAAATCTTAGTCAAATTTCAAAAACCAAAATACAGGCCGAAGAGAACTAGTAAATCAGCATCGTTTTCGAAAGCAGGAAATTAAAAAACAAAATCAGTATCGAACAGATTTGTAATGTTTCGTTAATGTTATCAAACGGGTCGGTAATTTTGAATCCTAATTCGAATTGATATCCAAGTTGTTGAGATATCAAAGCAATATTTCATATCTAATTATATAAACAATGAACAGAAGCTTACTATGTTTGTTTCAACCAAATGGCTTTCCACATGCAATCCTTTGATTCCATTTATTCCATCTGTATCATTCACAAATGCAATATCCATTAGCTTTCTCATTGCTGGGAAGAATCGAGAAATAAGAGAGCGAGAACAAAACCTAATTATGAACGGAGTAGGTTTTACCAGCCAAAATCTTAGCATTCTCATGGTCTCCCTCAAGCTTTACAATATTCTCTTGAATTGCAACCAATGCTGCAGCACAAAGAACACCGACCTGTCTCATCCCACCGCCCAACGTTTTCCTCAGCCGTCTCGCCTGGAATGAAGGCACGACAAGTTGTTAGAAAGTGTTTCCAGTCAAATTTAAGAGCGGAATGTGAATATATACCTTGGTAATGAAGGCTTTTGAACCAACAATAACCGAGCCAACCGGAGCTCCCAGGCCCTTAGATAGGCATACCTGGTTCAAAAGTTCAGTAAAACAATAGCTGAGCAAACGAATCTAAGGCATGTTCGACAAACAAAAGCATGTATTAGCAATGCTTCTTACTTCGGTTAGAGACGAGGAGCGATAACTTGAAGAATATCTTTAAAAGAGTAAATGTACTGTAACGACCCAAGCGCATTGCTAGCAGACATTGTCCTCTCTGGGTTTTCCCTTTCAGGCTTACCTCAAGGTTTTTAAAACGCGTGGAGAAGTTTCTACACACTTATAAAAAATGTTTTGTTCTCCTCTCCAACCGATGTGGGATCTCACAATCCACCCTCCTTCGGGCCCAGTGTCCTCACTAGCACTCATTCCCTTCTCCAATCAATGTGGGACCCCCATATCCACCCCCTTCGGGGCCCAACGTCCTTGCTGGCACACCGCCTCGTGTCTACCCCCTTTGGGACTAAATCTCTTCATTGGCACATCACCCTTGTGTCTAGCTCTGATACCATTTGTAACGACCCGAGATTAAGTAAAAAATTTAGGGTCGTTACATGTACTCAAATTTCTCGACTCAAACTTTTGGATTTAACGATAATTTAATAGATAGCTTCCTTGAAACTTTCTAGACTGGACGAACAAAACAGGGGATAGAGTTTTTAAGAATGAAATTGATTAAGGATAACAAAGCTGGATGAATAATTATACCGATACAGAATCAGCCACTTGCACGAGCCTGTTAACAGGAACACCAAGTGCCTGGAAACAAAAAAGCAATGGATTGATGATTATTGTCAAACGAAACGCCTGCGAAAATAAAATATAGACAATCCCAGCTCTCAAACACGTGAACTTCGAAGGCTAAAAACTCGCTAAATGATGACAAGTGGAGGAAAAACGTACGAAGCAACACACAGATTTCACATTGAAAACCATTGCTAGAACAAGGACAAACAAAAAACTACATCAAATGGAGAGTTTTCAATGATAGCAGCTCAAAAACCTCTGTTTTTCTCAAGGATTCTGGTCAGTGATCAGTGATCACCTATGTTTAACACACACCATTCTAAACAGATGCAGAACAAATGTGTTCATCTTTAGCCAGAACATAATTCAAGGGACCAAGTATACTCACTATCTCTACTATTTATCAATTCAAGAGCGACTCGAATTTAACTTTCCAAGTTTGAACATGATTAAACAAAACAAGAAGACTAAGATTCGAATACGATTGGCGTTATAATTATTAAGGAGTTCAGTCATTCTACATACAACTGAGGCGTTAAAAATACGAGCACCATCAATGTGAAGCTTCAAACCATGCTTCTTAGCTAATTCGCCGACCCCGTCTGTATATTCCGCAGTGAGACATCTACCTCCACAGCTGCATTTTAGAAAAGTACTACAATAATTAAGCCCAGCACTTTCAAAGCAGTTCAAAATCAAGTTATATTATAGATTTTGTCCTTTTAACTCTCCAATTTGTATCTAATAAGCTTCAAAAAAACAAATCCTTACTTAGCATGTGAGTTTTCCAAGCAGATAAGCCTTGTAGTTGGGAACACAAGCTCTCCACGAGGGTCTCTAATGGCAGCTTCAATCAAATCCAAGTTCATAGTTCCATCTCCATTGTTCCTAACAGTCCTCGGATGAACCCCTCCAATGGTTGCAATACCTCCATTTTCATAAATATGGATATGAGAATTATCCCCAAGAATGACCTCAGAACCCCTAATTTCACAATGAACAAGAACACTTATGAGGTTCCCCATAGTGCCTGAAGGCACGAAAAGAGCCGCCTCCTTCCCCATGATCTTCGCCATTTCTGTTTCCAATCGAAGCGCAGTTGGGTCGTTTTTCAATACATCATCATCAACCTCGGCGCTCGCCATTGCAGCCCTCATCGCCTCTGTTGGCTTCGTGACGGTGTCTGAACGAAGATCCACAGTTCTCGACACCATTTTACTAAATGAAACGAAGAGTAACAAGAAAAATCAGTTCAGACAAAAGGGGTTCCTCAGTTTCTATCGATTATTCAAGAAACCCATCTCTTGAAATGATTTGAAGAAATTGGAAATCAAAATCAAAACCCCAAAAGAAATCAAAATTCTTCGGAGGAGGAGGAACAGGGGAAGAATTCTTACAGTTCTTGAGCAGCAGAAGAATGATGAGGAGTTCGCCTACATACAGATTCCACCTGAAACTATTGAGTAATGGGTTTGTGAAGGAATCAAAAGGATCAAAACCCCAGAAAGAAGCTGACGAGATATGATCAAAAGTAGTGACAATTCAAAGAAACTCACCTGTCCCAACAAGAATTATTCAGTGCATATACATTATTGCAACTTTTTTGTATGGTGTTCACATTTTCCCTTCACTCTTTAGATGCATTATTACAAATTTAAATAAGATTGTAAATTCTTTTAATATTTGGCATAATTTCTAAAAAATCTTTCACGATGGCTTTCTTTCGTTCTTATCGCTCCGGGTTATCCACTAGGCCGCAAACTCTCTATTTCTATATGATTTTAGTAAGAAAATGGCATATTAAAAAACCATAGAAAGTTTAAAAAAAAAAAACTCATAATATCAGCAAAAAGAAAGAGAACAGTCGTTCACGATGAGACTTGAACCCACAATCTCTCACTCCGGAGTCGAGCACCTTATCCATTAGGCCACGCAAACTCTTTGTTTGTAGGAAAAAAAATTATATTTGTTTAATTTTTTTTATAATAAACAATTTATATTAAGTTCCACTAAAAAAATGTAAAGTAAAAATATAATATAATATTCTATTCGCGTAATTTCTTTAAAAAAAAAAAAAGAAAAATAGTCGTTCACGATGGGACTCGAACCCACAATCTCCCGCTCCGGAGGCGAGCGCCTTATCCATTAGGCCACGCGAACCAGTTGACGACTGCGTGCTATTATTTATAATTAATTTAAAAACCATTTTGATTAATTTTTATTTTTAGGTTATCCACATGTTCTTTTCTTATATGAAATTATTATTATTTAATAAAATTTTATCAAAACTAACTTCAATATGATGTATAGAAAATTTAAAATTTCAATGAAAAAATGGATAACGGGAGGAGGGAAGGTTACCATGTGCAGATAAAAACGGTTAAGGGAGGTTGGTGTTGTCATTGAACTATCTGAGAAATAAGTTTCTTACCGTGATGAAAGGGGTATTTACAATGTGACAACGAGGTGGAGAATGGACTGAACTACGTAGATACATTTAGTGTAAGATCGAATCTGGTAGAGAGCTCGATTTAGTTAAGGAAGTGGCTAATTATCATCAACTCAATGATTTGATCACCACCGCGAAAAAAAAATAGAAATTTTTAAAGTCAGATTTATAAAATTTCATAGCGGAAATTATTAAATTTATTACTTAATAAGGTAGTGTATTACCGAACTTAATTACATAAAAATATTAAATTGGAAATTTTAAACTAAGTAATTCACCGGAGACTAAGACATATATTTAAGAAAATATTTTTGCTAATGATTTTATATTAAAATAATGTATTTATTCAAATTTAAGATGAAGATTATAACATTTATAATTGAAAAGAAATATATTAAATTTTATTCTGCAAACAAAGAGTTCGCGTGGCCTAATGGATAAGGCGCTCGCCTCCGGAGCGGGAGATTGTGGGTTCGAGTCCCATCGTGAACGTCTTCTTTTATTTTTCATCTTTAGAGGTTTAAAGCATATGACTAGAAACTAAGGGGTTGGAGTTTTTTTTTAAGACAAAATACAAGATTTTTTAGGAATGTTAATGAGATTAGTATGAATTTGGAAACATGTATAAAAGAAAATTCTATGGAAGAAAATTGTAGGCATTTCGATGCTTTGTATAATCCAGTAATGTTGGGCTATGGCGAAACTCACGATCATGGGCCACGGTAATCGAAGGCTCAAGTCGCTATGCGGGGCAAAGCTCAGACACCTGCAGGCCCCTAAACCAATATTCTTGCGAAAATGGGGACGGATTCCATCAAACAATCGCACACCCAACCAGCAAGCAACTGTGGAGGAGGAACCTCCGTTTCTTCCCCATGGGACACATCCAGGTCAGATCTAGCGAAATCGACACACCCAATTGCTTGAATCGCTCTATCTTGTTCATAATTCGAACCCCTTTTTCTGCGATTTAGGAAAAAGAAGCGAAGAAGGAAGCATTTAGGAAGTATTTGGAGTCTAATGGCGTTGTTGATGCTCTCACCAAAGGTTGATTCTCACCATTTCTCTGCTTCAATCCGTATTGCGTTTGAATTTTGATACATTTTCTTTTCTGCGTTCTTTTGCTGGTTGAAGTTCTGGTTGCGTTGTTTGAGCAACACGATAAGCCTTCCTCTGCTCTCGAGTAAGTTCTTGCTTTGAGCTTTTGATAGGTGAAGTTAACCATTGTTCTAGCTATTAATTTTGCACCTAATATCTCGTTTGGCTGTTAGACGAACACGACTCTCCACAATGGTATGATATTGTCCACTTTGAGCATAACCTCTCGTGGCTTTGCTTTGGGCTTCCCCAAAAAGCCTCGTACCAATGGAGAGAGTATTCGTTGATTATAAACCCATGATCATTCCCTAAATTAGCCTATGTGTGACTTTCATTATCAAATCTCATAATGTTCTACTAATATCGTCCAATCAATAGTTGATCTTAGTTACAAGCTGTCTAAACAATGTTTTTATCTTATTTTGATTCCTAAACTTTAGTTTCGGGCCATTTTCAAATCCTTTAATCACTTTCTTATTGAAAATAATGGCATGATTCATTCGAATTCTGGTCTGTTTGAGCTTGAGGAGGTTGGATTAGTTTCGTTTTTCTGAATTATTTGAAAGTTGTGAGGAGATTTCAAATCTTTCTCCTTCTGAATCCTGTCAAGCATTCAATCAAAGCATGTTTTATGTTTAGAAAGTCAAACAATAAACTACAAGGTGTTTGCCATGTTAGAAATTTTGTGAGATCCCACGTCGGTGGGAGAGGAGAACGAAGCATTCTTTATAAGGGTGTGGAAACCTCTCCCTAGTAGATGCGTTTTAAAAACCTTGAGGGGAGGTCCAAAGAGGACAATATCTGCTAGATGTGGGCTTGGGCTGATATAAATAGTATTGTATCAAAGCCAGGCACCGGGCGATGTGCCAGTGAGGAGGGTGAGCCTTGAAGGGGGGTGGTGGACATGAGGCGGTGTGCCAACAAGGACGCTGGGCACCAAAGGGGGTGGATTGGAGGGGTATTGGAGAAAGAAGCATTCTTTATAAGGGTTCTGAGATCCCACATCTGTTGGGGAGGAGAACGAAACATTCTTTATAAGGGTGTGGAAACTTCTTTATAGCAGACGCGTTTTAAAAACCTTGTGGGGAAACTCGAAAGGGAAAGCCCAAAAAGGACAATATCTGCTACGATGGGCTTGAGTCATTACAGAACGAGTGCCAGCGAGGATGCTGGTTCCCGAAGGGGGTGGATTGTGAGATTCCACATCGGTTGGGGAGGAGAATGAAGCCTTCTTTATAAGGGTGTGGAAACTTCTCCATAGTAGACCGTGTTTTCAAAACCTTGAGGGGAAACCCAAAAGGGAAAGCCCAAAGAGGACAATATCTGCTACGGTGGGCTTGGGTCATTACAACACGAGTGCCAGTGAGGACGCTGGTCCTCGAAGGGGGGTGGATTGTGAGATTCCACATCGGTTGGGGAGGAGAATGAAGCCTTCTTTATAAGGGTGTGGAAACTTCTCCATAGCAGACCGTGTTTTCAAAACCTTGAGGGGAAACCTAAAAGGGAAAGGCTAAAGAGGACAATATTTGGTACGGTGGGTTTTGGCCATTACTTATTCTCAACTAGAGTTTTCTTGTGAAAGTTATCATTTACTGTTGCTTGTAATTTGAAATGCTCAAGAAGTGTAGTTTTCTTCTTCTTCCTTTCTAAAAATAAATGAATGATTTTATTGAAGAGAACATTCCGATAGGAAGCACTATTGATAGACTTTTTTTCTTTTACTCTCACAGATTTATTCAACAAAGACTAGGCGGTCCATCTATAGCTGAATACGAGAAGTTACAATCCGAGATGGCGGATTTGCAAGTCAAGTATGACGAGCTTTTAGCTACCCACAAGGAAACCTGTAAAGAGGTAGCGTTGAAATTATCGGACTCGATACTATTACACGTTGTTAAGAATATATGTAATGAATAAGTATATCGTGTTGCAGTTGGAAGGACTTAAAAGTTTGCATAACGTCACGGCAATGTCTACCAAGGATACCACTGATGACGAGGAGGAAAACGATAAGGTATGAAGGGCTAATTGAGTTGCACATAGGAGGTTGATGGATTTTCTATATGACTGCCAAGAAAAAGAAAGTGATATCTATTTCCTTTAAGGTATGTGAAGATCTTACGCTATGAACGTTAAAAAGTTGAATTGTATGAAGACCATTCATCTTTTTACCTTTGATTCTTTGACATTGTTTGCTTTTGATAACTCTCACTTTAGTTCTAGTTTTGGTGTGATGTTTTTAGTGTACATTCGAAAATGAAACGGAAAACGTGCATGTGCCATGGAAAGAACATAACTATAATCTCCTTTGCTGAAACCCTCATGGACCAGCTCAAGCCCACCGCTAGCAAATATTATCCTCGTTGGATTTTTCCTTTCATGTTTCCTCTAAAGGTTTTTAAAACGTGTCTGTTAGGGAGAGGTTTCCACACCCTTATAAAGAATGTTTCGTTCTCCTCCTCAACCGATGTTCACAATCCACCCCCCTTTGGGACCCAGCGTCCTTGCTGGCACTCATTGTGTAATGACCTAAGCCCACCGTAGCAGATATTGTCCTTTTTGGGCTTTCCCTTTCGGGTTTCCCCTCAAGGTTTTTAAAACGCATCTGCTATGGAGAAATTTTCACATCTTTATAAAGAATGTTTCGTTCTTCTCCCAAACCGATGTGGGATCTTACAATCCACCCCCTTCAGGGCCTAACGTCTTCACTGACACTTGTTCCCCTCTCCAACCGATGTGGGATTTCACAATCCACCCCTTTTGGGCCCAGCGTCCTCACTGGCACACCACTCGGTGTTTGGCTCTGATACCATTTGTAACAGTTCAAGCCTACCGCTAGTAGATATTGTCCTCTTTGGCCTTTCCCTTTCGGGCTTCCCCTCAAGATTTTTAAAACACATCTGCTAGGGAGAGGTTTCCACACTCTTATAAAGAATGTTTCGTTCTCCTCCCCAACCGTTTGGGAGCTCACACCCCATGTGCCATCTTTTTATGAAGTTGCCATATTCTTCTTAAGTTGATTTCAAATGCAAAAAACCCCAAATCAATTTGACTTCATACCAAATGATTGCAACTCTCGAGAATTTGATCTAACAACCTTATTGAAAAATAATATCTTTAGATCTGAATATATCCAAGAACCTCGAAACAACAAGGAATTACCTTAAGGGAAAGTAAGATATGGATTACTTTGCTGATCAAATATCTCATGGTATGAACACTTGTGTAAGATTCGAATCACTCCCCAAACAAGATTGATCATGTCAAGCTTGAATGATTCTAAACATGTAACCTAAACTATATAGAACTAAAAGAAGCTTAGCTCTTGGCTAAAAGAAAGCACAAACGCTCTTATTACTACACTTTCCAAGTCTCCTTCACTGAGACAACATACATGTGGCTTTATATAGTCTCAAAATGAAATCTTTGACCTTCCATGAGACACTTTAGAGTTGTAACCCTTTATACTTTATGTAACAGCCCAAGCCCACCGTTAGCAGATATTGTCCTCTTTGGATTTTCCCTTTCGGGTTTCTCCTCAAGGCTTTTAAAACGCAACTGCTAGGGAGAGGTTTCGGGGTTTTTTCCCGAGCTTCCCCTCAAGATTTCTAAAACACATCTACTAGGGAGAGGTTTCTACACCCTTACAAAAAATGCTTCGTTCTCCTCCCCAACCAATGTGGGATCTTCCAAAGAACTATTCACTTGGCCAAGACTCACTACTAAAGCCTCGATAACGTAGCAAAAGACCTTTAGATAAAACCACTCTCGAACATATACCGTTATTCTCAAAATCCTTTTCAAACTCATCGTTCGGGAGTGCTATCATCTTGTAAACTAACCATAGGTCTTCTATCCCATTGAATTCGTGTTCAGAAAACGAAAAAAAGTTCAATATTCCTCGGGAGTGCTATCATCTTGTAAACTAACCATAGGTCTTCTATCCCATTGAATTCATGTTCAGAAAACGAAAAAAAGTTCAATATTCCTCCTTTCATTTGGCACTTTTTGACCAAATTATTGCTAGATTTGCAGCTGGCCCCCAAGGACAATGGTTCCAACCTAACCTTAAAACTTTTTTGTTGGCTTTTGAAAAGGTGAAGCTTTTGACACAACCCTCCAAATTACACTTTAGGGTTACTCACATTTGCATTCCTAGCTCCCCAAAAGTTTTAGATATCTAAAAGTTGGCAACTAAGTTCGGTTGGAGTTCAATCAAACCTCCACCGCTCTTGTAACAGCTAAAGTTCACCGCTAGTAGATATTGTTGAATGATGAAAGTCCCACGTCGGCTAATTTAAGGAATGATCATGGGTTATAATCAAGGAATACTACATTGGTGTGAGACCTTTTGGGGAAACCCAGAGCAAAGCCATGAGAGCTTATGCTCAAAGTGGACAATATCATACCATTGTGGAGAGTCGTGTTCGTCTAATAGATATTATCCGTTTTGGTCCATTACTTATCGTTGTCAGCCTCACGGTTTAAAACTCTTCTAGGGAGAGGTTTCCACACCCTTATAAGGATTGTTTTGTTCCCTTCTCCAACTGATGTGGGGTCTCACAACTCCAAACACAAATTATTGATGTAACTTTAAGCTAAAGCAATAGAGATTCAATTTTGGATATCTTTTTCTTTGTAGGGGAAGGTTTTTGTATTGACAAACATTTACTTGTGATAAAAGATCGACCGAAAAGGCAATGCGAGCATTACTCGTGGTCGTTGGTCTCAATTTAGTCTATGAGAGAGTTCTTAGGCGCTGACTGAGTCGTCTATAAAGTTATTTAGTTTGTAAATTGTTTAGTCTTGGGGTAGAATTGTTTAAGATCGAGTTATGGAATCAGTGTTTAAATGTTGATGTCGATGAAAATATCAAACTCTTGATAAAATGTTGTTGAAATCACGAGTTTTGTTTTTGTATCAGGAGATATAGAGATTGAGTTGGAGAAATCTTTTAGATCAACCCAAAATTTAGGGTTGGTTAGGTTGGTGACTCGAACAACTAGAAAAGAATTCACAACCTAACCCAATGTTCTATTTTTAAGTTGAGTTGTCCGATTGTTTTTTTTTAATTATTTAAAACAAAATTACGCATATTCACCTTACATGTTACATTAATAACTAAAACATTTACAAGTATCACTAGCATTGGTTACAATCGTCACATATTCTTAATTTTCGCAACAACCTTAAAAGTAAAACAAAATAGGTAGTGATGTGATGTAACTTCATTTTCGAGTCGGTTGGTTGAATTGGCTCGATAATAAAAAATAAACAATATAACCCAATTAAACTTTTGTAATTTAAGTTGAGTAGTCCAAATTAGTCGAATTATCTGATCATTTGAATATTCCTAGTGCTAAATTAATGTTCGTAGGACTTAGAAAATGATTATTTGCATAAATTATATAATTTAATAAATATAATTCAGTAGATAAAATATATATAACTATCGCACTTTTGATAGCAGTGGACTTGCAATTGTGTCGCACTCATTTCTCATCAACAAGTGAGCTTAGCCGATTCGTTCTTGTGCTTTAAAAATAAAGTTTTAGAAATAAATAAATAAAAGAATTATTTATTTATTTATGAGAGAGAGATGGGAATATTATGGATAAATGATAATATGTACACAAAAAAGGAAAAAAAAGTTATATTTATTTTATTTATTTATTTTAATTTTCCAAAACATACGCTCTCTCTCTCATCTCAAAAATGGAACCCAATGACAACCAGCTCAGCTCCTACTTCCACCACCATCAACACCACCATCAAAGTCCCACCACATCGCCGACCAATGGCCTTCTACCCTCCACCCACCACCTCTCCTCCGCCGACGCCACCACCCATGTCCTTTACCCTCACTCGGTTCCCTCCGCCGCCGTCTCCTCCTCTCCTCTCGAGCCCGGTCGCCGGAAGAGAGGTCGCCCGCGGAAGTACGGCACGCCGGAGGAGGCTTTAGCGGCTAAGAAAGCTGCTACGGCGTCGTCTCACTCTTCCTCCAAGGCCAAGAAGGACCTCGTTTCTTCCTCTTCTCTTAATGCCGTTTCCGCTTCTTCGAAGAAATCTCAGTTGGCTGCACTTGGTGGGTTGTCGTGTTGGAATTTGTTGTTAATTTCTTTTCTCTTGTTGGGATTTTTGGGGATTTTTCTAGGGTTCTGGAATTCGTTGTGGTTTTGGGGATTTCTGGGTTTTGGAATTGGGTTTTCTTTGTTTTAACCCCAAATCTCAAAAGCCCTTAATTCCCTTTTGGTCTTTTAGCAAAAGATTTAAAGAGATGCTTTACCATAATTATTCAATTTTGTATGTATGCTTGTAATGGTTTCATGTTCTAAAATAACATGTTTCCTGTCTTGGCAATTGTTTCTTTCTTTTTTATTTTCATTTACTTTTCGTTTTTGTTTCACTTTTGACTATGTGCTCGAATACTTACTTGGAGTGTATTTTTCTCACTGGACATGTAGGTAATGCAGGCCAAGGTTTTGCGCCACAGGTTATTGATGTGGCAGCTGGTGAGGTAATGCATTCTCCATAGTTTCCAAAGATTTGATTCCATTTATACTGATGTACTTGGAAGTGCATGTGATGACGTGCAGGCATTTGCATAAACGCATACAATGATATAGCTAGAAATTGTGGGTCATATACAATTAATGGATTTGAAATGCTAGCTTTAAAGAATTAGCAAACTAAGTCACCACTTCTCAATATGGGGCATAACCTATGCTGTCCTGGTATTGATATATCATCTAGTATGATGGTGCTGCGATAGGACAGCAAGACCATTAAGGATCTCATAAAAATTTCTATGATCTTGAATGCCCTTTTCTGTTGAATTCTAGTTTGTATCTGGGTTCCGAGTTTTTAAAATGTATGGTTATAGTCGATAGCTTCTTAGTTTAGTTTCCTGAGTCTTTTCTTTCAAAATAGTTTATGTTCTAGTAAACTACAGACTTGAGAGATCCCACGTCAGTTAGGGAGGAGAACGAAGCATTTTTTATAAGGGTGTGGAAACCTCTCCCTAGTTTACAACTTTTAAAAACCTTGAGGAAAAGCTCGAAAGGAAAAGCCCAAAGTGGACAATATCTGCTAGCGGTGGGCTTGGGCTATTACAAATGGTACAAGAGCCGGACACCGGGTGTTGTCACAGCGGGAGGCTGAGTCCACCTCGAAGGGAAGGACATGAGGTGGTGTGCTAGCAAGGATGTTGGGCCTCGAAGGGGGGTGGATTTGGGGGTCCCACATCGATTAGAGAAGTGAACGAGTGCCAACGAGGACGCTAGGCCCTAAAGAGGGGTGAATTGTGAGATCCCACATTTGTTGGGGAGGAGAACGAAACATTCTTTATAAGGGTGTGGAAACCTCCCTCTAGTAGACGCGTTTGAAAAACCTTGAGGGAAAGCCTGAAAAGGAAAGTCCAAAGTGGACAATATCTGCCAGTGGTGGGCTTGGGCTGTTATGGACCTATTGTCTCTACCTATGATGTTTTTATGTTCTTTGAAGGATTAAATGTTTAATGCGTTTAATTAAAAGGAACGTGTCAGCCTGAAGCACTAGTTGGTTAAGTTTTCATACCGTGAATGGGGCGTAGTGTCCACTTATAGAGGTTCTGCAGATGGTTTTCTGTTTTTTCTTCCTCTGTTTCTTTGTTCTCCTTTTTTTATTTACTACTTACGATCCAGTGGCGACGCACTTGAATTTAAATCCATGACAATCATTGTTGAGATTTCTTTCTCTTGATAAGGAACATAATATTTCATTGATAAGACGAAATTACAAAAAAAGTGAAATTCCCTTTCCGAATAAAGGGACAAAAATTGTTGAGACTTTGGTATCGAGAATCTTCGAGCTACCGCTTGGTCCCATGAATTTTCTCATCTTAATAATGAAATGGAACTAGTTCTAATTTTGGTTCTATTGTACATAAAATGATTGGGTTGTATTAGAGTGCAGAAAAAGTAAGAAGAATAAGATAATACTCTTGGTGCAGGTTATTCTTTAACTTCTTGTCAGGGAGTAACATAAAACAAGATTATCTCTTGGCTTCTTAATAGACATGGTAATTTGGAATATTGGAGGGATTGAAAAAATAATTACTCAGGTACATTATTAAAAAAATATATTTCTTCTCTCGTTCCATTTCTTTTATGCCAAGTCTCAATTAAAAGGTGTCTTGCAGATGAGGACGGTTTCTTAGTACCCCTCTCACATACCGGCACACATGTTCGTGTACTTATGCACACACAAAGGAAGTAATAGATTTATGTTCTTGAACATGTGTAAGGTATGTGTATCACATGGTTTTTGGTAGAATTCACATATATGAGTAAGAGAGTGCCAGGCTAATCTGCAACATCCACTGTGGTTATTTTCGTTTTCGGAGGGAATAATATGCTGCATACAAACAGGGAAACTTGAAAGTCCGAATTGGAATAAGGGATAAAAATCAAATTTTAAAAGATTATATTTACGATGTCAGTTCGTTTACAGTCTTCTCCTGAAAGGAAGGTTTTGTATTTGTTTTGTGGTTATCTACTTTGGTCCTATTGTGGAGCTTCATTTCTGCGTGTTGATGTGATCTCTATGTGATTATAGCTACTTTTTTTGTATCAACTACTCATTCTTTTGTTTCTCTGTGGATTTGTATTAATTTAGCTGGTTGAGAAGCCCGTTTTAAAAAAGCATCTCTTGTTTTCCCCCTCGTTCGTGTCGATAAGTTTTCTGTCCAGTAACAAGGAGAAGAGAGTTCAGGCAGGTTTCTGATTTGGTTTTAGGAAAGTGGAGCTGTGGTGGGCTGGCGGCTTAAGTTCATGGGAAACCTTAATGATAGAGAGATTGAAGGGTGTATGGCTATCTGGAGCAAGGTCCTTTACTCCGAGTGATTCTAGGATGTGGTTATACTTAAAGGTTGGAACATTTTTTTCGTCAAGTCATTGTTCAACAACCTGGCTGCTAATGATTTTATCATCTCCCAAAGTTCTTCTGCCAAGCAATCTTGAATTTTGAAGGTCAGGAGAAGGTTTATTAGGTGTTGTGACTCTTTTTCTTGGAGGCATCAATAACGGATCTATTCCGGAAGAGGAATCATTATACTCTCTTTCGGGTTGCAATCCTAGTGTAAAGTTGAGCAGAGATGCAAATCACTTGTTTCAGTATATCACTTGTATTTGGTGAACAGTGTATTTCTATTGCTCGTAGGTGGAACCTCTTCGGTGAGTTTGGTAGGTGGGTCGTGAGATCCCACATCGGTTGGAGAGGGGAACCAAACATTCCTTATAAGAGTGTGGAAACCTCTCCCTAACAGACATGTTTTAAAACTTTGAGGGGAAGCTCAGAAGGGAAACCCCAAAGAGGATAATACTGCTAGCGGTGGGCTTGGGCTGTCACACAGGTGGTCCTTCCTAGAGATGCCCAAGACTTCATTCTCAACATGTTATGTAGCTATCCTTTTCGGGGCAAGGCGAGAGAATTATGAGAATCTCCAAGGAGATGATATGGGGTGTTTCTTGATCGACTATTTGTCATTGGTGTGTTCTTCATCAAGTTTTTGTTTTCGTTTTTGTGAGTAGCAAGCCTTTTGTTGAGAAAGTGAAGGAATAGTAAGGATGATAAGAAACCCACCCAAATCAAAGGATATTACAGAACCCACATGCAGATGAATTTCTTAATTCTATCCCGTCTTCCATAGCTGATTGTCACATTGTGTACAAAAATCACATTGTTGATTTCTGCTTCGTACTGGTTTACTTATGTATACTCTATATTATATGCTTGATGAGCTATGGCTGTATCCCTTGTCCTCTTTACCCTCCTAACGAACACTCCGGTCATATTGAATAGGACGTGGGCCAGAAAATTATGCTGTTTATGCAACAATGTAAGCGGGAAATCTGTATCCTTTCCGCATCTGGTTTGATCTCCAATGCATCTCTCCGTCAGCCGGCCTCATCTGGTGGCAATGTTACGTATGAGGTATTTTTGTTCTCCCTATTTGATATCGTAGCTCTTCCTCCTTGGTGTGTGGAAGAAACGATAACAAGAATGATGCTTTGTAGTAGCAATCGTGGATGATTTTATCGAGTTGTTTATATATTTTGTGGGCTGTTTCGGAAAATGGACAAAAGATAACTGGCTACTCATTTGGATGATGATGTCTGTTTTTTTCCTTCCAGAAGTTTGCTTATGAATGCATTATTATAACTATTTGCATTGTAATGTTACTATTAGGGCCGTTTCGAGATTGTTTCGTTATGTGGATCTTATGTACGAACTGACATTGGAGGAAAGACTGGTGGTCTTAGCGTATGTTTGTCGAGTGCTGATGGCCATATCATAGGAGGGGGAGTTGGTGGACCGTTGATGGCTGCTGGACCCGTGCAGGTACCGTAACCAACAGATTGTTTTTCTCGTCTTTTCACTAAGAAGTTCAGTCAATGTTTGAATGTTTTATTGCATAAAGAGTTTTAGATGTATTATTCTTTTGCTTAGTTCATTCTTGTACGGATCCGTCCATTTCAGGTTATTGTTGGTACTTTCATAACCGACCCGACAAAGGAAGCTGGTGGTGGGATTAAAGGCGATACATCTGCTGGCAAGTTGTCCTCACCCACTGGTGGGACATCGATGTCAGGTCTACGCTATGGTTCGAACATCGACTTGGGAGGTAATCAAGTCAGGGGAAACAATGAGCACCAAGGTATCGGGGAGAGTCATTTCTTGCTTCAACCCCGGGGAGTGAACCTGACATCTCCTCGATCCAACTGGAGAACAGGTCTGGATGGCACCACCACTGCTTATGATTTTACAGGTACACAGGCACACTCAATCCGTTCATCGTTTCCTTTTTCCGAACTCGTGTTTTTATGAGGTTGGGAACTTCTTTGTGCAGGAAGAACAGACCATTCTCCCGAAAACGGAGATTACGATCAGATTCCTGAATGAGAGTTAACATACGAGATGAGACAAGACGTGACTGCAAAGTATGTTGTAGATAAATGTACAATATCAACCGCTGCAACGCCAGCAATCTTCGCTTCACTGTGTTAGCCTAATTCTGTGGTTGTAGTATGCACCATACTGTAAAGGTGATAGCAAACTCTTCAGAAGTTCTTATCCTTCCATCCATCCACACCTTTCATGGTGTACTTGAATGTCTAATTCTAATTCTCCTGTTTTTCCCTCTTTAGATGAACAAGTTCGGTGTAGTTGTTACAGTTTGCAATCTGCAATTTGATCATATAAACAAACCCCTAGGGTGATTTAGAATCAAATCTCACTTTTCTATTGCATTATATTTGGTTTGAACATTTTATGGGAGTGTTTGGCCAACCATCTTGAAGTTCGTTGGTCGTTGGTCGGTGGGGTTTGATCTATATACGTTATAACATGGTGAGTAAATAACTTCACCTATCAGCTTTAATAGTATTCACGGTTCCATCCGACCAACTTCATTAGAGTCCACGGTTGCAAGTTTTCATCTTGCAAAGGTGTGGAAGCTGGTTAAAGAGAGGGACGAAACATTATAAAGGTGTGGAAGCTTCTTTTTAATAGACGCGGTTTAAAATTGTGAAGTTGATGACGATATGTAACGATCTAAAGTGGACAATATCTCTTGTATCAGTTATTTCGGTTAGATTTCTGTTAATTGTGATATGGGTTCACACCATCTTTTATCTTTATCTTCTTATTTACATAAAGAGCATGTTAGCTGTCGTTACCTTAACAGTTATGTCTACATCTCCCAAAACCAGAAAAATCCGAAGCCCATTAATTCAGTTCCTCGTTCTTCGATCTCCCTGTGGGCGCGCACAAATCCGGATTACCCACCAAAAATTTCCCCCCAATTTCCTGCATGGCCAAACCTCGCCCATACCCAGTTATATATATTAATCTTTGTTTCAATTTCAGAAGTAGCAGCTTATCGGAATCGGGGTTTGATTCTTCTGAAGCTTCTTCGGTCTTTAATGGCGGTGTTGAAAGGGAAATACATCAAGTTTCAGGGCCGGAAATGGTCCACATTCAAGCTTTCCAAGATAGTCATGGCCTTGCTTTTGGCACTTGGGATTTCCATGTTCATCGCTTTCCGATTCTTCTCTCCTACTGAAAGTTCTCATAGCAATCTACTCCACCGGCTCGCTTCCGTCCAGCATAGAGCCGTTCATAGGTACTTGGCAATGCTTATTAGCGGAATCAAATGATTTTGATTTTGATTTTTGATCTTGGAGCCCAACCCCCATTTTTTGTTGCAGTGATGGATTGGGGAAGAGAGAGGATCAATGGGTTGAGTTCATTTCATGGGAGCCTAGGGCTTTTGTTTATCACAATTTCTTGGTAAGTTCTCAGAATTTTGGATTCCTTTTGGCATTTTGTTTGGTTTTTGTCATGTTTTTGGTTGAAATGCTTGCTGATATGAATGATTTTGGACAGTCCAAGGAAGAATGCTTGTATTTGATTAGTCTTGCAACACCTTACATGAAAAAATCAACTGTGGTTGATATAAAAACTGGCAAGATTAAAGATAGCAGGTCTGTATGTGTCATTTTCATTTTTGTCATCAATAGAATTTGTCAATCCTGACTATGAACTAACGTTGGTGGGGCTTACAATGTCATGTCCGCAGGACGCGCACCAGTTCCGGGATGTTTCTGAATAGAGGGCAGAACAAAATTGTCAGCAACATAGAGAAAAGAATAGCAGATTTTACATTCATTCCCGTAGGTAATGATATCCAAATTTGCATGTTACCTTGGCCAATTTTTTCATGCATCTTCTAATGATTCTTATCTATAAGGGCTTCAAAACATGTTGGAATCATTGTTTTTGAAATCTTGTTTCTATGTGTTAGTCTTGTCTGGTGGAACATGATAGTGATTTGATTGACGACCTTACTTAAACAAGTGTCAATAACATCACGTATAGTTAGACTAGCCAAATTGTGAGATCCCACCTTGGTTGTAGAGGGAAACAAAGCATTTCTTATAAGAGTGTGGAAACATATTCCTAGTAAGCACGTTTTAAAACTGTGAGGCTAACGATGATATGTAATGGGCCAAAACAAACAACATCTACTAGCGGTGGGCTTGAATTGTTACAAATAGTATCAGAGCCACTTATTGGACGGTTCGAAGCACTGTTTGGAATAAGCCAGTTATTTTAAAACCGTGAGGATGATGGTGATGTGCAACCGTCCAAAGCGGACGATATCAGTTAGCGGAGGACTTGGGCTGTTACAAATGGTATCAGAGCCACATATCGGGCGATGTGCTAGCGAGGAGGCTGGGTCCCAAGGGGGTGGATTGTGAGATCCCACATCGGTTGGAGAGGAGAACAAAACTTCCTTATAAGGGTGTAGAAACTTCTCCCTAATAGACGTTTTAAAATTGTGAGGCTGATGGCGATATGTAACGAGTCAGAGCAGATAATATAGCAGTGGGCTTGGGCCGATGAAAAATGAGCTAATTTTCTCGTGGGTTTGTTCTCCATTCTAGTTTTGAGGCCCAGACCAAGCAGGACTTTGGTGAACACTATTCATTTGCTTACTGATGCTTTGTAGACATCACTGACATTCTTGGTTTCAATACATTTTGGTATTAATGTTGATATTCACTATTCCAAACAGAGCATGGAGAAGCACTTCAAATTCTGCACTATGAAGTCGGCCAGAAGTATGATGCTCACTATGATTTCATTTCTGAGGAGTTCATCCGAAAAGGAGGCCAAAGAATAGCCACTCTTCTCATGTATCTGTAAGATTCAAATTTTACATCTCTCAAACTCATCTGCCCCTCTCTACCTCTCTCTCTAAAACTGTGACTGATACGAATGCAGGTCAGACGTCGAAGAAGGGGGTGAGACAGTGTTCCCAGCAGCCGAAGGGAACTTCAGCTCTTTGCCCGGGTGGAATGAACTGTCTGAATGTGGTAAAGGTGGACTATCTGTAAAACCAAAGATGGGTGATGCATTATTGTTCTGGACCCTGAGGCCTAATAATACCTTAGATCCTACAAGTTTGCATGGTTAGTGATATCTCCTGCACCAATTCTAATGAACAATACATATGCCTTTGCTCAAGGATGGTGAAGTAGAATTAATTTGACATTCTTGTGATATGTAGGTGCTTGCCCTGTCATAAGAGGGAACAAGTGGTCATGTACAAAGTGGATGCATGTTAATGAATACTAATTCAAACGTACGTTATCGACTAATTTTAGTAACAATGTTCCTACATTATATCTACCCACATATATACTTAGGATTCGAATCAAGGTTTAAGATTCTGATTTAGTACCTGCTGGCCTCGATATGTCTCCTGTGCGACATCACATTACCTACTTGTTGTCGTAGACTAATTCTTACAAACCAACACGGGTCTTTTCAACATATTTTGTTTTCACTCCTATGCTTTCATCATCCAACTTAGAATTGTTCCAAGCTAAGAACGCTTAATTTGGAAGTTTTTTTTTATTAAGCCACTGAAAAGGAACGGAACGTGCGCCTTGTTGGTATAGATAGTAACTTCTATTCTTTTTTAATCTGTCTCAATCACTTTTATACGAATATGGTCTTGTCTTGTCATTTGTGTGCTTTCTTGTTACTTGGGTGTCATAATTTTTAGAGGTGGGTTTGAAATAATAGCTACAAATCTAGTGTTTTATTAGCAATATATGACATGATTTTAAGTGAGATCATTTCCAAATTGCAGGGTGGAATGAAAGGCATACATCTTAACTGGCTACTCATTTGGATGAAGATGTCTGTTTTTTTCCTTCCCAAAGTTTGCTTATGAATGCATTATTGTAACTATTTGCAATGTAATGTTACTATTAGGGCCGTTTCGAGATTGTTTCGTTATGTGGATCTTATGTACGAGCTGACACTGGAGGAAAGACGGGTGGTCTTAGCGTATGTTTGTCGAGTGCTGATGGCTATATCATAGGAGGGGGAGTTGGTGGACCGTTGAAGGCCGCTGGACCCGTGCAGGTACCCTAACCAACAAATTGTTTTTCTAGTATTTTCCCTAAGAAGTTCAGTCGATGTCTGAATGTTTTATTGCATAAAGAGTTTTAGATGTATTATTCTTTTGCTTAGTTCATTCTTGTATGGACCCATCCAAATCAGGTTAACATACAGGACGAGACGAGACAAGACGTGACTGCACAACCGCTGCAACGCCAGCAATCTTCGCGTCACTGTGTTAGCTAATTCTGTGGTTGTAGTATGCTCCATACTGTACAGGTGATAGCAAACTCATCAGAAGTTATTATCCATCCACCTTTCATGGTGTATTTGCATGTTCTAATTCTAATTCTCCTGTTTTTCTAGTGATTTAGTATCAAATCTCACTTTTTTTTATCACATTATATTTGGTTTGAACGTTTTGGCCGACCATCTTGAAGTTCGATGGTCGGTGGGGTGAGCTAAAATACTTAACTCTCGGTTTGATTTACATACATTATAAAATAGCGAGTAAATAACTTCATTGTATCAACTTTAACAGTATTCAATGTTCCACCCGACCAACTTCGATAGAGTCCACTGTTAAAGTTTGCCCGTTATGCTATAGATAACTTGCTTCGAAGTTTCAAAATCTTCCAAAATATGACATTTTGGTGAGAACTATTGTGAGATCCCACATTGGTTGGAGAAGGGAACGGATCATTCTTTATAAAGGTATGAAAACCTCTTCTTAGTAGATGCGTTTTAAAACAGTAAGGCGGACGACGATACGTAATGAGCCATAGTGGATAATATTCGCTAGCGGTGGTTTTGAGTTGTTACAAAGGATATTGGAGCCATAATTGATAATATCTGCTAGGTTTTGGGCTGTTACAAATGATATAGACAGACACAAGAAAGTGTGCTAACAAAGACGTTGAGCCCCAAAGGAACAAGGGAGAGTTGTGAGGATCCACATTAATTAGTGAGGTAAACGGAGGATTTCTTATGAAATTCTACCGACAATAGACAGTAAATTTGCAATAAACTACCTTCGTAGGATGTTTATATAAAGATTTTGATCAATCTGAGTGAAACTCGATAGATAAATCCCTAATTACTATTTGAAACGTCGATGTGACCATCGTAATTGTTCTAATAGCTCAAACCCACTGCTAACAAATATTGTCATAGTAGCTCGTTTCATATCGTCGTCAGTATCACGGTTTTGAAACGCGTTTGATAGGGAGAGGTTTCCACACCTTTATAAGGAATGTTTCGTTCCTCTCTCTAACCAATGTGAGATCTCACAATCTACTCCAGGTCCAACATCTTCGTTGGTACACCGCTTGGTATTTGGCTATGATTCCATTTATAACAACTCAAGTCTACTGCTAACAGATATTGTCCGTTTTAGCACGTTATGTATCGTCGTAAGCTTCACAATTTTTAAAACACGTCAACTAAAGAGAGTTTTCACAATTTTATAAAAAATAATTTGTTCCCCTTTCTAACTGATCCCAAGATTTTACAAGATTTTACAATTGTGGAAAGTTAGGTTTTTAACGGACACCTCAGATTTCAGATTTTAAATTTGAATTTCATGAACTAAAAAAAATTAAAAAAATTAAGTTTTGAGATCCAAATATTGATGAAAATTAATGAAATTAATATATTAGATATAAGGATCCAAACATTAATTCAATATTTTTAATTTTATGAATCCAACATTTCACACAAACATAGTTCTCTCTCTCTTTTTTTTTTTTTTTTTTTCAAA